AATAAAACTAAAACGAATATACAAATAACCAGATGAATAATAATAACAATAAATATGTAAATTTATTAAATATAAGTATATAGCATAGTTAATTTTCTATGCATACCTTTTAAATTAAAATCTATAATATCAGGGACACTCAGAACTCCAAGTTCAGTATCTAAAGTTACTAGTGAACTTTGCGGATCGCTATTTTGAATTTCTTTTGTCTGAAAATTATTTTTTGTCTTACAATATGGTGTAGCAGAACGAACTTTTAATGTTACGGTGGTCCTCGTGTTTTTTTCACGCGTCTTCACTATGGAAGATACAGTAGTATCCTGATTCGGAACTACGGTTGTTACCTTTAAAGGTGAATACAAGTATTGGGATAGAAATTCTTTAAACTTAACGGCAGACGACTCACTATCTTCAGTTTTTAACATGATTGTATAATTATTATTACCGTAAATTTATTAACGTTAATCGATTTTCGATTCGTATCACTTTACACCGATGATTTTTTTATAGCCAATCAAATAATCCTCATCAAAATCGTACTACAAATGCTAATCCTTGTTCATAAAAATAAACAAAAAATATCTTCATCAAACATTAAATCCATGCAAGCTAAACATTTTGGTGGTCTTAAATTTTTTTAAAATTTATTTTTAATAAAATAGTAAAAAATTAAATTCGAGGCAATTTTATAATTAAACAAGCAATTTGGCCGCTTAAAATATACTATTAAACAAGTAAATTTGGCCACTTTACACATTAAATTTGGCCGCTCTATATGTTAAATTTTGCACTCTATATATTAAATTGACTATATTAAATTAATAATTTGCCATTTTATGTTAAAATTTTAAATTTGGCCGTATCATAATTATAAATTTTCATTTGTTGGGACTAGGTTGTCCGCACTGTATTCCAATACAGTTTTAAAAGAATGGATAAAATACTCACGAACGAAGAGACACCCACACCCGGTAAATATAAATACTATTGCCATAGCATTCAATTTATACTTAACGAGATTATTGTATAGGCCGTAACTCGGATAGTATATTATATTTGTCGACGTCTTTATTTTATCGCGATGGGCCACTGCGCAGCCTGCGCATTATTTCATTGCGCAGAATGCAGTGTAATTTTTAAAATCGGACTAGCTAGCATAATGCTGCATGCTGCGCAGTGGATTCAAAAAATGCTCAATCTGCTCATCCCTAGTGCATACACGTTATTCCCGTTAGATTTTCACACGAAAAAGTAAAAATTACTAATAAATGTAGAAATTGGTGAAATCGATAAATTTTATGCACAAATAGAAAACAAATGTTTGTTGTGAAAATAATAATATTACGGCGCATTTGCGAAATTAATCAGGCAATTGGTCACCAAATCCAAGTATTTGGTTCCCATTAGCTACCAGATTATATATTAATCAATCAATGTTAAACCTCGAAAAAATTTTTGAACCCCTGATCTGTACTGATAACGCGTCTAACCCATCTTTCCCACGGGCTAACCCATTTTCCCACACTCATTAGACATAG